AGAAAAGCTTTTTCTCTTTGACGGAAACAGTTTGGTTTGTTTGTCCCTATGGATCGCGAGAAACAAAAGCAGAAAATCCCTAGATTGAGGCTAAAGTTTTAAGAAGATTCAAAAGCTTTGGTAAATTGTAACAATTTTTGTTTCTTCCTTTTGAGAAATGAAGATTGAAAAGAGGAAATGCATATTCATTTTCTATTTTACTAATCACGAACTGTAAGTTCAAATTCTCTTTTGACTTTTTATCTTTCAGTGGCGACGTTAATTCTACTAATTAGTTTGGTAATTTTTGGAATCGAATTAAAATAATAACTTTAATAGTATTATTTTTCTTTTAATACAAAAGTATACCTTATATAAATGTACTAATATAAAGATAATTTGATTAAAAATAAACTGTGTGCATAGTTAAATAAAGACTCCGTTAAACAAAGTTGATAATAGGTCAGAAAAATAAAAAAAAATTAAATTATTTAAAAAGTATAGTTAAATGAAAACATGCATAATTATTTTTTATATAATAATTCAATTTTACATCCTGCCTTAATTATTTGGCATTTTAGAGATAACAATATGGCAATATAGAAAAGCAATGTTTATTTGAAATATATAATTACTATTTCTATCATATTAGGGTATATAATTACCTTGATATTCGATGTTTAAATTCTTTTTATAATGAAATATTTTTTCGCTTAACGAGTAAGATGTTGAAACAATATTATTTTTAATCCTTTGTCTTTTAAAATATTTTCCGTTTGCATATTTTCATTTCTAAAAAAAAATTCCCTCTTTAAATAGTAATTTTTTTTTGGCTAAATATTTTATATTTCTTCAAATCTTTAATATTTAATTGTAATTTGTTAACATAAATTTAAGTGATCGAATCCTTAAAATTTAATTGTAAATGTTCAAATTCTTACAAATAGTTAAAAATGTGCTAATCTATAAATTCTCTAAAATAAAATTTACTGATCTAAAATGGAACTTACTAATTTAAAATAAAATTTACTAACTAATAAATAGTATTATTATTACTAATCAAAGTAACTAATAATGATGATTGTAGTGAAGTAGCAATCATAAAAGTGAATGAATTTTTCAATTACAGTATTCAAAAATGATTTTACGAAATTGTTTTCTTGCTCTAATCTTTTTAATTATAAAAACGTTTTATTTTTAGTTTAATCATAATTTTTTCTAACTTTATCTCCTTCAGTATTTTGCTTAAACATCAATGATAAAATTTCTGATATGCGAAACAATCGATTTTTTTTTTTTAGCATCTGTATCAAGAACAATCACCTTTTACTACTATTTCAGAAAATACCTTAAGACAAAATTGTTTTTATCTAGCATGACAAATTAATAGAAATGTCAAAAAAATGTCTTAAAACATTTTTAGTCAATAAAGGTAAAAAAATACAAATCTAAATTATTTATTATGGTAGATATGACCTGATTAAAAAAAACTTCATTCGTTTCAAAAATATATAAATAGGATATTACAGTCAACATGTCTCATTAATGTCTAATAAGTCTTGAAAATGGACGCCTGTTTTTGAGCGTTCGGTACATGCCGACTGTTATTTCCTATTTATATATTTTTGAGGCGAATGAAGTTTTTATTTGGTAATAGTCTTACTGCTTCAGTTGCTTGGGATTATTTATTTAATATTATGTAATAAAAAATAAAGTCCAACAACCATGGTAACAAAATCAATGGTCAAAAGTTGCCCATGACTTGCAGGAATACAGATAATCATTTATCTTAACAGTAAAAGTCTGAGCACAGTTTTTTGAAAAAGCAATTCTTAAATAGAACCTCTTGACTGGAAAATCTTTTCTTTCAGCTCAATGAAAAAATATGTCCCTTATCTTTTTTTCTCCGCTGTAACTTCTTCGCCAAATGTAGTAAACTTACCTCTTTATACATAAATATATGGACTGTATGGCTACAATAAGGAAATACACATTTGAGTATCTAGGAAATCCCCGATAGTCGACAACGTTGCGTAAACGTTTGGCCGTCTAAGCAAAGAAAGAAAGAAAAAAAAAAAACGTCAGAGAAGTAACTATATCTACAATCGCGCCAGAGGCGGTGCTGAATTGTGTACTCAAGAGGGCGTAGGAATAGAAAGAGTGGACAACGGTGGTCAAACATCTTGTGTCAACAGAGTGAGTTTTTTTTTTACATTGCCCTCTGCACACATTAGAGTGGTTGGTCGATGTAGCCTGCAGGTTTGTCAGATCTTGGCGACCATTGCTTTGAAACGTTATTTAAGAATAACTCAACGCAAATCTATCTCTTCAGTTTTTTTGGTTGAGGTAGTTTAGTTTTTTTCGTTTTATTTCTTTATATCATTGCTCCGTTTTATAGTTGGAGAAATGTCTAACTTTTTGCAATAAAATAAGGTTTTGTATTTCCCAATAAGATGACATAAGACTTATTATTATTTTTGTAAATGTATAGGTACTTAATGCTTTATTGTTCTAATTACGATTTGCATTACTTAAAAATAATTTAACTACCTTAAAAAAAACTGGAAAAAATTTACGTTAAGTTTTTTCTGTTTTATTTCTTTTTATCACTAATTTATCATTCATTTATTATTTATTGTTTTATCATTCATGGAAGTTGGGGAATTGAGCATAATTTGTTATTGCGGAATTAGATTTATTATTTCAAAATAAGCTAATATATTTATTTTACTATTTTAACAAATATATTAATAGTTACTAATTTAATGTTCAAATTGCGATTTGCAGTATTTAAGAATGACTTAACGCAAATCTGTATCTCCAGTTCGCTTGATTGAGGTGGAATAGTTTTTCTAATTTATTTCTTCTTCTTTTTTTATTATATTTATTTATTTATTTTACCGTTCATGGCTCGTAAATGTTGGGTAATTTCCCATACTTTTATAATTTTTTGAAATAAAATCAGATTTAATATTTTTTAAAAAGCAAATATAAAGTATATTTCATTTCAACGAGGAAAAAAAACGAATAATAAATTTTTTTAAGCTGAAAATAGAAAATTCTAAATCTTTAAAACATTTGTAGTTTTTGTAAATCATCGTTCTAAGATCGAACTACTTTTTTGTTAATACTATTAAAGAATAGTAAAAAATAAATAACTATAAAAATTATTATACTATAATAAAAAATTAATATTAGTTTTTTTTTTTATTCTTAGTCTCAACTATAGTGTAATTTACAACATTTTCCAATCATAATTCTTATTCTTAAAGATTATAAGTCATTTGTAAAACTAAAAAAATCAAATTTGATATTTCTTATGATATTTTGAATTATTTTATTAGTCTTATATATACCTTTGTGTTGTTTCTAAAAAAATAATACGTTACGTTTACATTAAGTTAAATGCGTTTGAAAACCGAATATTCCATACATTCTTTTACAATCGTATTAAATTAAACACACTGTTTTCATACTGATCGAAAGTATTTTTTGTTGCACGAACATAATATGCAGGATTATGAAGATAAATAATTCTTTTTTTTTTTAAGAAAGAGAAAACGCTGTTGAATTTAAATACATTTTATAAAATATTATTTGGAATTTTATATACCATCATCAAAGCCTTTTCACTTAAGTTAATAATACATAGTACTTATACTTATAGGTTTACTATTGTACACTTATAGGTATAGATATAGAATAATACTTTATAGGTTCACTAATATAAGATCAGTATGGTTCTTTGCTGTGAAGGCAAAGAGTAAACATACCTCAAAAAGTTCATTTATATAGAGTGCGAAAAAAACACCACCACCTTGAATTACCTCTAGCAGCAAAATAACTTAGACTCTCTCTTGGGCCAATATTCATGAATCATGGCTCAGTAAGTGTTCAAATGGTCTTTATTTTTCCAATATTGGCCCGATATTTTACAGCCACTTTACAACCAATATCGGTCCTATATGGAATTCACCCAATATTTTATATCCAATATTTAGCCAATGTTGGTTCTATATTAGCCAATATAGGTCCTATGTAGGCCGTTCTAGGATCTATTATAAGAAACTAGACATCCTAATATTGATCCCCCAGTGCATGTTCTTATAGGACCAATATTGAGCCAATTTTGAGACTAACTGGAGCCAGGGTAAAATTGTTGCTAGGGACTTTTGATCTAACTATCGGATTTTCACGTACTAGAACTCAAAATTAATGGTTCACTGGAGTAAATTCAAATATGGTAATTAGTGCAGGCGATATTTTAATTTACAAAATCGGACATAGAAACCTTCTCTCTCTGAATAAGCATTCCTATTTTTCGACGGAATTATCCTGATTTATCCTGACATACTTATCCTGATTTATCCTGACGTACTTATCCTGAAAATTATAATAAGATAGTTAAAATCTGGGTAATATGTTCTAATAGTTTGATCAAGAAATTGGTTCAAAATTTTGGACCATTGTACCCAGATTGCAGCTACCCCCTCTACTTTCAGGGTTATAAATCCAAATACGTCGAAACAAAGATATGTTTACTCAAAGAAAATACATCTCTGTGTCTGGTTTTTGACTTTAAATTTCGTCTGCAGTAATTAATTAGCATTTCTGAGGTCTCTCCGGTGAACCCTCAAATTTGAATCCTAGAGCGTTGAAATTCGATCATTAGATCAAAAGTTATTCAGAGTGACTTTTTTATGTACATACATTGATGAATTAACTTGAAAACTTTTGTGATGTCTGAATTATAGTATTTTGTAATAAAGAAACTGAGATAAAAGTTTGCTAAGTATGATTCTTATTTACTTAGGGGTCGTGAAATCGGTGTTTATTTGAAAAAGATTGAACCGTTGAAAAAAATCCTCGATTTTACAACATATTTTCACAAATGTGTGGTAGAATGAAGTATATTACAGTCCAATCTCTTTATGCTTTACTATGAATTATTTTCAGATCATTATTTTATTCGAATTATTATATTTTATTAAAATAAAACATGTATTATATTTCATTTATAGAGAAATTCCATATCTCCTCACGATCGTGATAAACCTAGAAGTCGCTCTCCAGACCTGGACATCGACAAAAAAAGGCGGAAAGAAGACAAGCATGATCATGTGAGTTTTTATAACGCATAATAAACATTCATATCAATATGAATTTTCATATATATAGTAATAAACAAAGGTATTGTTATAAATTTTTTGCATGTAATAATATATATTATGGATATTCACATATAGCAATGAACATAGATATCATTATGAGTTCCCACATATATGCAGTTATGAGCTTAGGCATCAGTATGGCCACTATCATACCTGCTCATATTGATGCTCCGGAGCCTTGTTTCATTCATATGAATGCAGATTATCTTATTAATGACATGAGTTCCTCATAGCCTTCATTTCGCTTGGAAATACGAGGGTTGCTATTTATATTTCTGGCCTTGGCAACAGTAAGTGTTGCTAGGCGACCGCAGACAATTTTAATCGAAAGTTTGATATTTTTAAACATAAATTCAGCAGACGATTTACCATTATAGCTTCATTTGTGTTGTTGACAGTAAATTGAAAAGTTCTTCTCTTTCAAAAAATGGAATTGAATCGTGAACATTTTCGTGCCATTATTTTTCATAACTTTCGACGTGGATTGTCAAGACAAGAGTGCTTCGATGAACTTAATTCTTTATTCAGCGATAAAGCGCCATCCTACAGCACTGTAAAAAATTGGTATAACGAATTTAATCGTGGTCGATGTTCGATCCAGGACGAATCCCGTGCAGGTCGTCCAAAATCCGTTGTTGTGCCAGAAAAGATCGATGCTGTGCGTGAACTGATAAAGCAAGATCGTCATGTGACATACCGTGAGATAGAGGCGTCTTTGGACATTAGTATGACTAGCATCAATAAAATATTGCATGAACATTTGAGCGTAAAAAAAATTTGTTCGCGTTGGATCCCGCATAATCTGACAAACGCTCAAAAAAAGGCTCGTGTCGATTGGTGCAAGGAAATGTTGGAAAAATACGTTCAAGGTACATCAAAGGCTGTGTATAACATCTACACAGGTGACGAATCATGGATCTATGCATATGAGCCGGAAACAAAACAGCAATCAACTGTATGGGTCTTCCAAGACGAGGCAAAACCAACAAAAGTTGTTCGAGGAAGAAGCACATCGAAACAAATGATTGCCTGTTTCTTCGGCATTAACGGTCATGTGGCAACAGTGGCGTTAGAGCAACGCAGGACGGTCAATTCTGAATGGTACACGACCATTTGTTTGCCAGAAGTCATCGGAGAAATTCGAAAAAAGCAGAAGAACAGGCGAATCATTCTTCATCATGACAATGCGAGCTCTCACACATCGACTCAAACAAAGGCATTTCTGACGGAGCGAAAGATCGAACTGATGGGTCATCCGCCGTACAGCCCTGATTTGGCACCCAATGACTTCTTCTTATTCCCACACATTAAAAATAAATTACGTGGACAACGATTTTCGACCCCCGAAGAAGCGGTTGATGCATTCAAAACGCATGTTTTGGAGTTACCTCAATCGGACTGGAAAAAGTGCTTTGAAAATTGGTTCAAACGCATGCAAAAGTGTATTGATCATCATAGAGAATATTTTTAAAAACAATAAAACCAATTTCAATCCTACATATTTGTTTTTTCATTATTAGGCCAGAAATATAAATAGCAACCCTCGTATACCCTGCCCTGTTCTGCTTTTTCAGACACTATCGTTCCCCTCTACGTCAGCACTGTGGTCGATGCAAGCCGGATATGGAATTCGTATCGGCCAGCAATCGCTGGGATTCTAACCCGGTTCACCTCATAGGAAGGCGAGCTCTCTATCCCCTGAGCCATCACGGATTATTCGTATTTTCAAAGATTTTCCTTTAAAAAAAATTAGGGTCATAAAAAATCTTCTATTCTTATTTTCTAAAGTTATAATTTGAAACTGATAGCATAACAACAAGCCTTTGTTTTCATGATCATGGTGATTCTTATTCCTGACTAACAGGTATAGTTTCCAATATGATTGTATTTGAAGATGAAAATTTGTCATAGACAAGTTATGATAATCTTAGGAAACTACAGGAATTCTTAAGGTATTTATATAGCGATACATCATAAACCAGGACATGAAATTTCAATTCTAACGATAATAACCAGACTAAAATTTTCACTTTCAACTATTCTCGCAAAAAACATGAGTAACTTTTAATACAAATTTAAAATGTTAACACCTGTTGTATAACGAACATTTTGGTGACCAAAACCATAAAATCATATATCCAAAAGATGGAAAAATATTTATTGCGAGATAGTAATAATAACAACTTAAAATAAAGTTGCCGTAAAGTCTTAATGGTTATAATATAACATTATCCATATATGTAGTAATAATAGCCATTAAAATAAGAAAAATATGAGAAATATTCCCATACTTTTAGCAAAATGTTTGTATACCGCTCTCCCTTGGCACTAAAATAAGGATACCTTCTATCAATTGCAGCCATAGTATCAAAACCTATAACTCTTAGACTCAGCTATTCTAGAGTCAAACTCTGTTACATTAGAGTTAAACTCCATTGCACTAGACTCAAACTGTGTTACTTACTCTCCAGCACGTTATTTTATCGCCAATATTATGATACTTCCATTTTGATTAATATTATGATTATGATAGTATGATACCAGCCTTTAACTCTCAGACTCTCCTATTCTCGAGTCAAACTCTGTTACATTAGAGTCAAATTCCATTACACTAGACTCAAATTGTGTTACTTAATTGCCAGTCCCTTATTTTATCGCCGATATTAAGCTGGCGAATGGAAATTTTGAGCTCAGCCATAAACTATTGACAATTTTAAGATTAAAGATTGAAAGAATCGATCTTATAGATTGTGACACATTGTCTTAGTGTTTATGTTCAAACTGCGTTTTTTAATTTACTGAAATTATGTTAATTTTTCCAGGTGGTCTACACTCAATCATTTTTCCGCTGAAGTGCCTAAAGTCATGGGATATATTTATTTAACTCTTTCAAGACTGTATTCTATCAGAACCACAAGTTAATGGTACATACGTGTGCCAGCAGTCCCTAAAAAGTTAATACCATGTGACATATCCATTAGCCTGATGATTTATAATATCTTGCCTATCAAAGACTTAGCAAAGGTCTCCTAAAGTAACTGTGATACTAAACAGGTATTTGTGCTGCTTCAAGTCTTGTGCGAGAATGGAACTCTTGGTTTTCTTCCAATATATCTGTTGATCTCCGTTTCGAGATTGTCACCTTCTGGTTGAATCAGCACGAAAGATTGAATCAGCATCTCAAAAATCAATGTTTATAGTATTTAATCTTCATAATCCATAGCCGTTGAACTGTTGACAGCTTCCTTTTGAAATATCTTAGAAATACTATTAAAGTTACCTAATCTAACTATCAGTTAATAGGAAAATATTGATAATGAACAAAATTGGAGTTAACTCAATCAAACTTAATTCATCTTGATCAAAGACATAAAGATTGAAAATAGGGCTGGCACTATTATGAAGTGGCAAGTCTTACGAAATGCCTTGGTATGGTTATAAACAAGAACTAACTCCTAGGCCATAATAACTATTCCATTTGGAATTTAGTAGAATATCATGCCCACGCCCTATGCCATGCTCTGATTTCAATATTACAATAAATACTATGATTGTCAGCACTTGATGCTGCAATGCATGACCCAATTTAAAACGATACTTGCTGGGGAGTGAAATGTAGTGCTTGCAAGAAAAAGTATTCTTGTTGCCTTTTGGTAGAAGTGATTTTAAAAGTTCTACCTTGTTCTGCATTGTAGATATGTCTCAGATCGTTTGGTGGATATAGGCGTTTAAGGATGTAGCTTAGGTTGTTCTGGCCATGCAGTCATCAAATGTAACAAAGCAAGAGTCTGAAGATTGAAAAGGAAACGCTGTTAGCCTACTGGTTAAATACTCATACTGTGAATCTATGCCTATCCCATGACTTTTGGCACTTAGAAATAATGCCTTTGTTTTTACTAATATTTTCTTGTATTTAAATACTTCAGCAAAAAAAGAATTTAAATGATTCCATTTTTTTAAAACCATAGTCAAAGAGCTTAGTAGAAAGAGGTTATAAGCGACTTTTTCGGAGGGAAAAAATTGAGGTCTTATATAAGTCTTAATTCACTTTACAACTTTAGTATTATTATTTTTCTAAGTCCATGAATTCCGTTGACTTCAATGGATTAAAGTATTAAATGACACTATTTGTGTCTTTTTGAAGTACAAAAAGACTCCACATGCATTAAGCAACAAACAGTCAACGAGTTGCTCTAGAAAATTCTCTTTTGCATCAAAGTGAAATGCCAAATAGCAACTCTATACCTTAAACAGTTTAAATGTGTGTTAGGGATTACAGATATGGTCAATTCAAAGTTTGGCGACAAAAAATAATGGCAATGCATACCCTCTATTTAATATAGTCAACCTGTATACTTTAACGCTAATATTCTCAAGTACACTTAAATGACAGTTACAATCTTCATCCACCTCAAATCAATTACAAAGTCACTTAGAACCTTCATCCACTCAGCTCTTTAATTGTATTTTTGCATTTTTTTTTCTTTTCTGATTTTAATATTGTAAGTTCAAACGATGGAAATTATATCTTCCACAATTGTAACTGAAATGTTCAATAACGTTTCCTCGAAAAATATATTTTGTTAGTGTGTTTGGGAACCACTGTCTCTTTAAAATGTGAGGCAAATAAGAAGCACTGAAAGTGCATATATTTGTGTTTCAGTCCGAAAAAGGTGGCACATGGAACGAACTGGCAGCTCTCTGCTTTCCAAACCTCCAGACGAATGAAGAGGACAAAAGTGATCAGGACCTCGTCGTTGATATCTCTAATGAGGTCAGGCTTACTTATTTCACTTCAGTTCAATAACCAAATTCATTCATATTTCCTGTAAAATGTCTCCTTCCTCCAGATAACTTTAAAAAACAATTCCTTTGTGCACAATGGAAAATAAATTTCGCATAGAATTTTAAAACTGTTTTTACTAATTCCAATGTTTAAAACTTTAACTGAGCTTATTGACTTCAAATTTGTCAAATTTACTTTTTTTAATGCTGCATTTTATTAAGATATGGATATCAATATTTAGAATGTTTTCTAATGAAAAAATTTATTTTTCAACTCGTCAGATAGATCGATTACATTAAAAAATTTTAAAAAATTAGTTGTCATACACGAATGTTAATTTTTTGAGTTTTACAGATGACTGCTTTAAAATGAAAAAACTTTAATCATAGTACATTTTCTGTTAACTACTGAACAGTGGTTCCCAAACAGATTAGTAACGTAAAAGCGATTAAAAACCCATGTTTTTATTGTATATTCAACCTTTAACAATAAAAATTAACATTCGTGTTGATGTAAATCATTTTTTCTTATACAAGTTCACTGTATTTATCAACCGTGTCTGAATAATAGCAGAATCAGACATTTTTAAAACAATGCCAGGAAAACATATCCGTAATATCTTTTGCAATCGAAAAATTAACTTCGTTTTGTTTCTCCTAAAATGATCGATAATTTTGAAAATTAATTAAAGAAAAAAACATAGAAATATACAATTTGTTACGTTCTGCTAAAAAAACTACCATATAGTCTCACAAAATTTCAAAATAAGTTATGAAATTCGCTAACAGATGGTGTTGCTAACAGAGGAAAACTATTAAACGTTTTTAAAATAACCACCATTTGCAGTAACAACATGGCGTTGTCGGAGAACAAATTTAGCCGACATCCTAGCAAATATTTCAGTTTAGATTGGTCTGACATAGGACATAAAATATTCTTATAGCTTTGCTTGTTAGCCGTGCCATCTAACTAACATCGTCGAAAGTTTTACCGATTTCCTAAGCAAAACATAGGATGCCTTTTTCTTCCGTTCTATTATATCGCCTTCCGCTTCTCTTTAAATGATTGGTTATTTTTAGAATACCAGGTAAGTTTTTCTGTTCAATTAAAACTTATCAAGTTTATTATAATAAGAAAAATGGATAATCTAGAAGGAAGGGTATAGATATGTAACACTGCATAATTGTTTATGAACGTTAAACATAACTGTGCGAGTAGTTTCATCTCCTCATATCGCAATAATCTTATCTCTTCTTTGGGAGATTTATTTTTGTCCATAATGTATATTTCTATTTCAAGTAAAACTAGTATATCTTACACTAATTTTTAAAATTCTCTGTGAAATATAAACAGACTTTCTAAAATTTTAAATTTTATCTCTTTAATACCTCGTTAAAATCATAATTAAAAAATTATTAATTATACATTAATAAATTAATAATTATAATTAATTATAAAATATAATAATTATAAATAAAATAATAATTCATATATATGTTTATAAATTCTTACTTTAATCATTATGTTGAATGAGGCGTACTTAGTCAATATCTGAATTATTTATAGGAACCTCTTTCTCCTCCAAATGGTGAGATGTCCCCCAGAGAAAATGGTACAGAAAGAGGTCCCAAACGAGAACGTCCTCCAAGTCGTAGCGGGTCCTCTTCTAGCAGAAGTACACCCTCATCCGCCAAACATAAGGACCATATGGTAAGGCTTTACGTGATAAATTTCATTATGTCTGTTTTTCTCCGAGAAAAATAAAAACCACCTTTATTTGAGTACTTAAGGCTCAAGCTCTTTTGAGGAGAAGAAAAAAAAAGCTTTTCATCACCTTTAACTCGAAGCAAAGCTGTAATTTTAATCTATTACATACTATCTGGCTTTAAAAAAATTGTTTGCACTTAACACTAGATTGCCCAAGGGAGAAATTTTGACTGCTTTTTTAATTTCAATTAGAAAAACAATGATGTATATAATGACACAATTTCTTTGAATTTTGTGACTTTTTGTACAACATATATTTTTCTATTGTTAATATTTACTAACAACCTGTTATATACCTGTAAATAATATAAAAAATATTAAGAATTAATTTTAAACAAATTTCTTTACACATTAGTTATTCATTCACAATCCAGTCATTTTGACTGCTTTTGGGCAATATATAGGTATATACTAAATTTCAGTCTTTCTAGAGTTAAAAATGAATAGATCATTTAAACTTAGAATTGCCTGAATTCAAAAACGAACTAACGGATTAAACCTAGAATTGGTTCGATTCAGAAACGAGCTATTAGTTTAAACCTATTATAGTCTTTAATTAATAACAAACAGTTTAAACCTAGAATTGTCTAGACATAAAAAACAGATGGAGAATTTAAACCTAAAATAATTATTTGAACTTAAAAACGCGAACAAAGAATTTAAATCTAGAATTTTATTGACATAAAAATGATCAAACAGTTTGAACCTATGTAAAATAGAATTTTCTGGACTTAAAAACGTATAAACAGTTCTAACCTAAAGGAAAATCACTAAAATCAATGATTGATTCTCAATTTTCGCATATTTTTATGAGCCAAACTAATACAACGGTCAAATGAGTTTTCAATTATTAAAAATTTCTACCACAAGCGCTTTCTATTTTTATAAAGCTGTGGTTTAACAGTTTGCGCCATTTTCATAATTACCACAAAAGATTTCACTTCTTAAAAGTAAATATTCACTTCATTTTCACTTCTTAAAAGTGGACATTCACTTCATTTTCACTTCTTTAAAGTGGACATTCAATCCATTTTCACTTCTTAAAAGTGGACAAAATTTAAATTAACAGTTCTGAATAATTGTTACGAACTGACTATTTTTATGACAAAAATAGTATATTACTTTCAAAAGTCCTATTTCATATGAAAGTAGAACCTTTCAAAACAGTTATCAGCGCACAAAAAAAATTTCTAATTTTGTACCTTATCATTTCGTAAAAAATTGTTAACAGTTGTTTTCCGTTTGTATCAATTCTTATGATAAAACTTTTAACAGTTTTTTGATTATTTTAATACCATTGAAATTCTTATATCATAAATCGGTTTTAAACTTTTAAAGTTTTAAAATTGATATCTATTGTATTGTAGTTAATTCTTAAATTGCTTATGCTTTTAAAAGTAAGGAGAACTTTCTTTAATTATTTAGTATCGTAAAATGAAATGGATTTTCTTTTTACTAAATTGTCCTTAATGTATTAAAGATAAATTTAACACGACTACACTATAATTAGCGTTATTAGTCTGCTTAATATTTTTAATAATATTATTGAACTTGTTTTGAAATACTTAATCAAAACAATATGTCATTAACACTTGAACGTAAGTGGGACACCGGTGTCCCTTTTACATATTTTTTCTGACTCTAATTACTAGCAAAAATATTTTTTTATATTTTTGATTATAAAAAAAAAAAACAGTAATAGTTATTAAAAAAAATCTATTAGAATATCGGAATTATATTTGTGCTAAATCCGGAAAATAATAATGTATAAAATCCGGAAAAAGTAGTTCGAATTTTTTTTTTCATTCATAATAAAAAATTTATCAATAATTGATTTTGTAAATTAAAGAAATTTCAATGATGAATAACTGTTCCTCTTTTATCTCAATAACTGCAAATAAGTGCTAATTTGAAAAAATATTGTTTGGAAGTGAGCCATGTTTAGAAGATTTTATTTTTAGCACAAAGAAAAGACACCGGAGTTTCATGCTGTATTTCATAACCATAAATTATTAAAATGATAAACACAGTATTTTTCACTTATTTTGACCTAAATTAATGCAAAATAATGTAAAAAGTATATTTAAAAAAAGTTTAATAACAATTTTGTGTCAAAGGATTATTCTTTATCGATACAAAAATTAATCACTCTAAACACTTGAAAATGACTGTACAGAAATTGAAAATGATTGTACAGAGATCCTTATTTTGTGAGGTTAGTTAAAACTTGAATGCATTTAATAATTCTACTTAAAATAATGCTCAAAAATTTTTTAATTTACTATTCAAGTTCTCAAACTTTTTATTGTGAACTAATTTTTATAAAATTTCAAGTACGAGGTGCATTTATAATTACGAGTTTTTTTTTTTTTTTTTTTTTTTTTTTTTTTTTTTTTTTTTTTTTTTTTTTTTNTTTTTAGGGGGGGGGGTATTATTATTGCTTGTGAAAACTAATTTATATTTATTGAATGTAAAACATTTTGTTCTACAACGATGTGATGAATGGTTGATTTTAAATGTTTTGTCATTTGTCTTTATTTCTAATGTTTGTGTTTATTTATAGAATGATAAACCACCTACACCAGTGTCAAAACCTGTAACTCCTACGAGTTCAGGATCTACAACTCCAAGTTCAAGTGGCATTAAACCTCATCCAAAACATGCATTAGGTATTTATATTTCAATTTTTATTATTATGATTATGTTGATTTAAATGAATGACATATTGTTAAACAAAATTACCTTTTGTTGGAATTACAAATACGTTTTATTATCTTTTCCTTCCTACGTTGAAAAGTTCATCAAATTTAGTCGTTTTAAATTAAATGCACGGTGCTCAAAAAGTAAACGGACCACCTTGAATAACTTTTAATCTAACGATCGGATCTTCGCGTTCTAGGACTTAATCTCAATGGTTACACAGGGGGATCTCAATTATGTTAAATAATTAGTGCAGACGATATTTTAAGTTACGAAATAAGACTCAATAAAATGTACTTTCTCTGAATAAATATACCTTTTATTCGACAGATTATTATTTCTGACTCCCAAAATATAAGGGGTAGTCACAAACTCGGAAATATCATCCCAATAATTTAGTCCGGAGAGCCGTCCAAAGTTTGGACTTCTTAAAGTTAATTTTATTTTGTGCGTGTATATCATCTCATGTCGCCAAAACTCACGAACTTTCTAAGCGAATAGGAAGAAAAAAAAATTGTTCACAATTATAAAATTCGTTTATCTAAAGATAATTCCATGCAAAAAACAATTTTTAGTAAATATTTATTCTTATTTTATTTAATAAATAATCTAAACGTTTTGAATGAGGCGCACAATTTTTTACATAATTTTAAAGGGTGTAATTTTACATGATGACAATAAAATATTTGAATAAAATCGGCTGAATAGTTCCTGAGAAATTGAAATTTAAAGAAGTTTTATATTTAATATTCGATTTCTCAGCAACTATTCGACTGATTTCGCTCAAATTTTGTATTTTGCCAAGTAAAATTACATTCTTTAAAATCAGGTAGAACATTCCATACCTTATTCAAAATGTTTTCGACTATTGTTAAATAAAATAAAAAAACAGTCGATATTTACTAAAAGTTATTTTTTTGCTTGAAATTATTTTTGTCTGTAGTGAAATACGAAATTTGAGCGAAATCGGGCGAATAATTCCTGAGAAATTGAATTTAAAAAAAAAAAAAACAACTTTTTTAAATTCGATTTCCCAGAAAATATTCGACCGATTTACGTATTTTGCCATAATTTACAATTCAATATTTTTACGAATATTATTAAATACAATTTTAAAAAATAATAAATATTTACAAAAAGTAGTTTTTAGCACGGAATTATCTTTGTTAGACAGCAGAAGTAAACAAGCGATGTATTGTATTGTGATATATTGTATTGTAAAATAAGCTATGAATTGTATAAACTTTTATTGTTGTATAAATGTGAGACTACATTTTTTTCTCGTATAAAGAGTTCAAATAAGGCTCCAATAAGACCTTTAGATAGTAATGAAAATATTTTTTTCTGAGTTGAAACGTTTGAAGATATATCTTACAGAAATAATATAATTAAGTTTATTTCATATTTTTACAGGTCCTCCATATCCATATGCTCTGCATGGTGGAGCAGCACTAGCTGGTGAACTGAGTTCAGCAGCTGCATTTCCTCAAGGCGTTCTGCACAATAATATATCACCAGCTCTCAATTCCTATTCTAGATCACTAGTACGTATTATTACTCTAGATCACTTCTATGTATCAATACTCTCTAGATCATTATGAAATACTAATAATAATTATTTATTTCAGGTTGGTTTTGATCACCCTTCAGTAAGGACACCTGCTTTTGGTAGCATACCAGGTGGAAAACCGTAAGTTATATTTCTTTTTTTTTTTAATGTCAGTAATAAAAAACGTAACTTTGAAAATTTTAATTTCCTTATTTTAAATTTGATTTGAATTATTTTCCGGATTTCCAAAAAAAAAAGAAGAAATAAAAAAAACGATGATTCGAAAAATCAATTTTAAAAACAGAAGGAGTTAAGCATGGATATTACCCAAGAAACATAGTTATCACCACCAAGTTTTGAAATTAAATGCTGAATTCCTCGATAGATGGCGAAGCTGTCTGAAAAAAACTATCAAACGACATTTCTTGATTTCAACTGAACTTTCAACAGAAATATTTTCAGTATAGTCTGAAATTTTGTTTCTCAGACAATCCCCTTGTTGTTGTTGTTGCTGGAAATTAGAAAACATTGATTACATTTTTGACAGCTAACAGCACCATCTGTTGAGGAGTTTTGTCACTGATTGTAAATCTTTGTCAGAAGAAAAAAATCACTTCCTTTTAGAGCGCAATAAATCGTACATTTCATACGCATTGTGTTCCTCTTCTATTGGTATTTTAAATAATCGGTCTTTTTTTTTCTTTTTTGTAAATGCTTAACAAGTTGATAAAGCATTATTAAGATATATCAACTTGTAAATTTCCTTTTTACAGAGCCTACTCCTTTCATGTAAATGCTGATGGTCAAATGATGCCCGTGCCTTTCCCACCTGATGCCCTCATAGGACCGGGCATTCCCAGACATGCCCGACAAATCAACACTCTTAGCCATGGGGAAGTTGTTTGCGCTGTCACAATATCTAACCCCACAAAATACGTCTACACTGGAGGAAAGGTAAATATCCAAAAAAATATCTTAAAAAGAACATGATTTCTATTTGAGAACATTTGAATAAGTTTGTTTTGTATGTATCTAAAATTCATAAATCCCTAACTTATTTCAGACTGAAAAAACCGTAGTCATAAACATGGTGTTCTGATTTATAGCAGACCATGAAAATGTCTCGTTTTTGTATGATAAATAAACTGACTTCATGCTACTCAACGAAAATTCAGAGAGTTCATATCTCGTAAATGGAATGAGAATACGAGAGATAATAACAATAAGAGATAATTTAATAAGAGATAGTAATCACTGTCTTGTACTTCTAAATATCGGCCTTCTCATTACCGTTTTCTTTTACAGTAGAATAAACTCATTCAATATCGAGAAGCCAATTTAGCATTCAATATACTCATGATCCGTCAATATACGTCATGATATGTCAATATACTCATGGCCGTCTTGCTGTTAAAGTACTCAATAAACATAAAAACTATATCTTTAAATGCGTCAACGATGTACCATTATTTCACAGTAGAGTAGATAATTCAGTTCAGCTTATGTTATGTTTATACAGTATATCCTTATTTATATTTAATTCTGCTACAATTCTTCAACAATAAATAGCCTTGTAGTCATCATTCTCAATAATAATTCGAACTAGTTCCATTGAAAATAAAATGATCTTTAACACTAGAAACACTGCTGGGGCCATTTTGGCCCCTCTCGTTTTTTATTGCTCTGAAATTAAAAAAAATAACAAACTGAAAATTTTGAGTATTTCTGACTTTTCATAATTTGATCCAATTTAAGTGCCTATTTAACCATTTATGAGTTAACCCTATAGGAATGTATAAATAGAATCTTATACCTAGAGTTATGGGAAGGGCCAGAGTAGCTTTTAATCCTTTGCTTACGGTATACCATATTGTGCCATCACATATGGTCCATATGTTGTACCAGCCATAAGCCAAAGGTTATGGTATTTTGGCTGGTACCCAATGACATCAAATAGGTTTTGTATCGCGTGCCTTTTAGTACGTATAAAGAAAAACAAAAGCATTTCAGCGTGTTTTTTTTATCAACTATTATTTTTGTGAAAAGGAAACTCAATAATTTAAGAAATTAATGAATAAAAGTCAATCTTCCGTTTAATCAAATATTTTCGCTAATCAAATTGAATAAAATACCATAGAAATTTGATGACAGACTCTCTGATATTAATTATAATTACATTAAATATAATTATTATTATTATAATTATTATTATTATAATTATTATTATTATAATTATTATTATTANTAATAATTATTATAATTATAATAATTATTATAATTATAATAATTATATTAATTATAATTATATTAACTATGATTATGAAACTTATTGAATTAATTATTATTATATTTTAAGATTTTTGATATCTAATTGAATAATTTTCAGAATTTCTAGGTAGACAGCAATATTCTGTCTTTCTAGTGTTAAACAACACATAATTTAAAACGATAAAAGAAGCCAAGTCATTTGATTTAACGTCTCATCCAGAAATAAAAAAAGAACGTTCCACTTAAAAAAAAAATGATAAAAACAATGAAACGCTTTCATTTGAAACCATCCCTTCTTAGAAATTCGCATTTAGATCCAACGAGAGACAAATAGCTTTTGGGGTGTTCGTCTTCCAACTCTCAAGAGCTTATCTTTTCACTCATTGCCAAACATAACATAGGAGTTGGGAAACACAGCTCACACAAGATTTACCTAATCACCGCGTTATATTTCTAACTGATGAATATCAGCTCTCTCTCTCTCTCTCTGCGCCGATTCTTTTTATAGTAGCTTAAAACTCTCCTGGGCTATAATAAATTCTCTCGATTTACTCATCCCCTGTTTTAACACTTCATCCTTAGTGTAAACACTGAAGTTGTCAAACATGCTAGCTCTGCTATTGTTGATTGATACTAAATTTAATTCTTTTCTCCTCTCTTAGCCAAGCTCTAATCGATTTATTTTTGCCTCCAAACTTTGCCAACTTCTGGTTGTCATCTGTCTCTTAAACAATGCACTGTGATTTTATTTGTAGATTGCAAATTAGACGTTTTGAAACCTCACATTTATTTTTTCTGCAATCTTTTTTAAAGGTTGTTTGGGAAATGAGGCAGTTTCAAAATATTTTTCAAGACTTTAGAATGTTTTTTTTTCGGGGGGGGGGGGAAGGGNGGGGGGGGGGTAAGGATTATTCTTTGCTTTTGAAAAAGTTTTTGAAAAAATAAATTTTGAAAATAAGGCTGCTCTAAACTTGTTTACTTACAAATAAAATAAAGAGCATCTAATAAATCTAAATCTTAGTTGTGTATTTCACCGGTATATATTTTTCGAAAATATTGTCCAGAAGAATACTTATTTTTGAAAAGATTTAAGTTTTTACGAGACTTTTGTTAAGAGAATATTTCAAAATATATGTATTTTTAGACATTGGTACATGTTGGTATTGGTACATGATTAGTGCAGACTTATTGGTTCACGATAAGCTTGAAAAATGCAATAAGTGATATTTTTGAAAATTTGTTTTTAACTATACAATAATTATTTATCTTGTCAAGTCTTCAAATCTTTGTGAATGAAGGTACTAAATCTGAGTTTTTTCCAAGCTGGAAGAAAGTGCCAAGTGTATTTGGCAGCAAGCAGTCGACGAGTTATTTAAAAAAGCCAGTCTTTTCGCATAAATTAAAATATCAAGAATGCAAACGCTATGACGCGAACAGTTGAAATGAGAGTGAGAGATTTATAGATTTCGCCAATTCAGCTTAAACCAACAACAAGGGCGAGGCATAATCTTTATTTCCTATTATCAACTTATACTTTCCATTAGCTGACAATAAGAAATAGTGTTAAATCATACTTTTTCTTATCGTGTCAGTCATCAAGCTGTTAATTAATATTGTTTCTGGATAGGTTCGTTTCAATTTTCGGAATTTCCACTCGGTAACTATATTCAAAAATTTCTTATTGCCTGCATCGAAATCGTCGAAAATGTTATCCTGATCAATTTGAAAATGTGCCTTATCATTATGTTGCTCGAAGCCCTTTACTTAAATGAAAGGGGTTTTTTTTGTTTTGCAATATTTTAAGAAATTTTCGACTTAACTGTTTAACTCTGGTGATCCAAAGAGGTGATCCGGGTTCGAATCTCAGCGATTGCATGTAAATGAGAATTCTGCCCTCCGCTCGCACCGACTATAGTGTTAACGTAAAAATATCCTCAGTGGTAAACGGATCATGGATTAGAAATCACTTGCCGTCAGGCTAACCGTGGGAGGTTTTTGTGATTTTCCTCTCCATGAAACAAAAATGCATGTTAGTTTCATTAAAATGTCCTCCCCAAAGTCTAGTTTGTCACAATGCTTGATCCAGGAGTTCTCTTGTCTTCTGGATTAGGGCAAAATTATAGGGCTACGGAGTTGAACATTGCTAGTCGTAAACCAAAAAAAGTGTCACCTGTTCAACGCCGGTTATAAAAGAAAAAAATTAAAATCTAAAACCTTAATATGTAACGCATCATTTTTATTTAACTATGAATGAAAACAATGAAAGTGTGAATGCGATGTTTTAATAATTGTATAATAATTTAGCTGTTTATTATTTATGTTTTAATATTGAAAATGTAGCAAAATAATTTTTAAAAAATTTTTGAATGAAGCGAAATAAACTTATATTATTGTACCTGTCTTTAAATAATAGCGTGATATCTTCATTCAGGGAAATTGTTTTTTTTCCCTCCTTTTTTTTAATGCATGTTCGCCCCAGAATGCGAAGTAAAAGAAAAGAAATTGAAATTAAATGAAATTCTCATTTTATCTTCTCAACTTAAGAATAAGAACCTCAAGAAAAATTCACAAAACTTTCGGTTTTAAAGAAGTCGAATTGAAACACTCCAAACTTCTTTTTCAACATTTGTAAAAGCTCTCAAAGCACAAAGAAAGCAAAAATGCGGCTTTCATATAGCACATTGAGATTTCAAAAGCGGCAATTCTGCCTCCTCGTTCGTAAAGTAGCAGCTCAGTACGGTATTCTCCAGTCCTTTCTGTTCAAACTGTTTTCTTCGTTATGGTCTAACAAACTTCTTGTCTACTTCTCTTTTTGTCATCTTAAGTTTTAGATGCACTCATCTAGTGGTTGTCTGAGGAAATAAGAATTTTTTTTTGATTTGAAAGTCACTTTTTTTTAATGAAAAATGTTCTCTTTAAAGTGGCATTCTTCTACCCTTGTTCGAAGCTTTTTTAAAAAAATAGAATGAAATTTTTAAAAAAAGATTTAAAGTAGGCGAAGATTGCTTCACTTGTTTAAAAGATGAGTCCTTTACGAAAAGAAGTGAAACTTGTGTCAACATGTGTTGCAGAACGACTTTTTTTTTAATGAAAGAAAAAAAGTTAAGGTAAAAAGTTTAAATTCATAGGTTTACAAATCTCTTAATTTACGAAAAGAGAATCCTGACTTTTGTCAACGTTATTTAATTACAAATCGTCATTTTATATTTTTCCTTTATTATGACGACCGTTCATTTTTAGTGTATTTTATACGTGGTCATTTTCAGATTTTCAGCTTATTTGTTAAGTTTACTCGCCACATCTAAGATTGTTTACTTTCAATTTTAAAATCATATTATAATAAGTTCGCGCCGCTATGTCGATGATTCTTGATTTAGCTAATGAATAAAGGAAAACTAGAACCTGGTGAAAAATCAGTAAATCGAATATTCAACTATAATATTAACTTTTGGTGATTTTTCCGATGAATCGATGTATCAATAACTAAGCGTATTATTGAACAGGAAATTTAATAATTCGGCGTATCAACAAATAGGCTTACAGATCAATGAGAAAATGATTAAATTGACGTATTAGTGAATGGAAAAATCCATGAAGCAGCGTATCAGTGAATTGTCGTATTGGTGGGAAAAATCAATGAATTGGAGTATCAGTAACTAGGCGTATTAGTGGAATGGAAATTTAATAACTCAATAATCAGCAAATTAAGCTTGCTGGTGAATGGGAAAATAAATGAATTGGTGTATTAGTGAATGAAAAAATCAATGGAATGGTATCAATAGTATCAGTAAATTGGCGTATTGAAAAATCAATTGATGGGTGTCACGTAGGCGTATCAGCGAACTCGCAAATCAGTTTACAAATGCATATATATAAAGTTTATAAACCTTTAATTCATGGTACGGAAGTCAGAACCAACATTTTTGTTACTTTTATTATTTTTTATTATTCGTCTGTTATAATTTCATTAAAATATAAAATCTCTTTCCCTTAAATACCAGATCAACTTAAAATTGTAAGTTGAAAAGTGATGAGACAATAAAAATTTATTAAAGTGCCAAAAATTTAAATAAATTTCACTGTGGTCTGATTACTTCCCTATTCTTAACGAAGCTTCTCTATATCTGTTTTCATAGGGTTGTGTTAAAGTATGGGACATCAGTCAACCAGGAAGTAAAACTGCAGTTTCTGAATTAGTTTGTCTGGTAAGTATATTGTTATGATTTTTTAATCTCTAATTGCCATTAGACTTATCTCTATTGAGATGAGTAGACACCATCAAGTATTTTGTGCCAAAAGACGCCTTATTTTTGTTTATTTTTTAGCAAAGAGAAAACTACATTCGATCCTGTAAACTACTTCCAGACGGAAGGACACTTATTGTGGGTGGCGAGGCCAGCACGATATGTATATGGGATCTAGGAACGGTAAGTTTTACGTTCTGTATTACTCTATTCGCATCATATACACATCATAAGAGCACATGCATTGGAAATTGCCTTTATGCCGCAACAATGCCAATTGAAATCGTAGAATAATACTGAAATAAAATTAATTTGGATTCTTCCCTTTCAATTATCTGTTTCTCAATTCTACTCAAGAACTACTTCGTTTTTGCACCTCGTTGCAACAGGCACCTCGAGGTTACATGATTTCCCCGTTCTCTAAAATTTCCCCTCTTCGTTTCCATGGTTTCCGTAAATCTAGCTTTTTTCTTATGGCAATACGTTTCTGTAAAAAGTTTCTTTATTATTATTTTATAACTATAGTTGAATATCCGACCCAATTTCGAGTTTCAGACTACCAATGTTCAACTCCATATCCTTGTAATTTCAAACCCAACCGAGAAGACAAGAGATCAAGTATTGGGATAAATTTGCCTTTGTGGAAGACTTTTCTGTAAGGAGTTCAATTATACATGCGTGGGAAAAAGAGTAAAATTTGTGAAAATCATGGGAATGGCAAGGCGAAAAGTGTGGAGAGTGGAAAAATCGCATAACATTGAAGCGCTTATTCTATTTACAAAAAGTATGATAATACACTATACTGTTCAAATGCTTATAAATATTCGAAGGTGGATCCAGAAAAAGATTAAAAAGGTACTAAAAATTTATTGAAAGCCCATAGCAAATGCATAACGGAATTAAGATAATAGTTATTTTACTACATAATCACCAAACCTAATCTGGCAACTAGTTCTCAGCAGATGTTTTCTCAACATGCTCTGAAGAGAACTTTGTTTGCAAGTTAAGAAAGCACCATTATCGCTTTGGAGAGAGCCTGTTTGCATCTAATTGTACGCCAAATGAATGCCAAGCGCCCAACCCTATATCAACATCGCCAACTCTTGAAGCGTCGTTGCGCAGCCTTCTTTTTTATTGGTTTCTAAAATCATGTGAAATGAGGAAAACGAAATTTATTGAATAATCAATTAACAAGTAATAAGAATTAATTAAAATGAGGTCTAAAAATCGTAACAAATATACGTCTTTCTATTCGTATTTAAAAAAGCTGTTAAAAGAATCATAAATATTTTTTTTTTGCAGACGATTTTCTTCTACAGTTAAACGAAAGTAAAAAATTCCTAATCTCGTATTTGATTTGTTAAGGTCATGTCAGCAAAAGACTCGCCATTTTTAGTGGTCCAATCAAATTCAAATGCTCTTATAGCATTATATAGTGGTTTCTTTTTTAAGGACAAAAGGTCTTATCTATCGAAATATGACGCCTAGTCTAGGATTCCAGTAAGACTTCCAAATTATAACCTTTTTTTAATATTCCTGTGATATTTATCTTAGAATTATTAATTAAATTTCAGTTTGACGTGTTTAAATTTTAAAAGCTTTTAAATTGTTTTTAAAGACTATTTGTATAATTTGATAACGAAATAAAATGGAACTATATGCAATCGCGGATGATTACTTAAATCCTGAACCGCAATCTTCTTTTCTTAACTTACAACGGAGTATAGTTTTTTTTTTACAATTTTAAAAACAAGAAATAGTCACTGGATGCAAATCTGGGCTGTTTATTTATACCTCGACCCGCCCTATTCAAGGGCACACGAGAGTAGAACAAACATGCAAGGAGGGGGTATAGAATTACTTCTTGAAGTTTTCTGAGTTCTATGGGATTTGGCATTATCATGTATAATATCATGGCATTATCATTTGGCATAAACCCTTACTCACGAAGCCTAGACTTTTACGCAGGATGGTTTTACACTACTCTTTGCACATAAATATAAATTAATACACTCGCTTCCGTGCTCGACCAACTTTTCTAGATGCCTTTCTATTTCAATGGGGGTGACGCACATTCGAACCGGAACAAGCTAACCTCCCAAACATCTAGATCCACTTACCTCTGTCAAACATCTAGAGGCATCTATATCCGTATTTGGAAAGTGTATCCTTTCTACAATAATTATTTTTAAATGCCATCACGTGTAACCAATTTTTTTTTCCATTCTCACGTATTTTGACAACAAATTTCTTTTTATTCTACTTAATTATTCAATTCAAGACATACAAATACCATTCAATAAATTCCATACTATGAAATAAATTCCATACAGTATAAATTAAATTTAAGTGAATGTAATAGATTTATATTGTAAGATTTATAGAATTCAGTTGCAATCAATAGTAATATAGCCATTAGTGAGCACCAATTTAATAAATATTAAAAATTCCAAGGATGCTTCAATTAATCCGATTTTATAAATATTTTGAACCCTTATTAGAACCGTTAGATTTAATTAACTAAAAATAAATTAGTTATTCATCTATATTTTAATCTTTAATCGAATTTCATTTATTAAATAGGATAAACCAGTAGGATAGAATATTAATAAGAAAGCTAAGGTGTTTTAATTTTACCTCTTAGATGTGTTGCATATTTAAATATTATCCCTCTGACAAATATTAAATCATTACTTCTGCTCATTTGCTTTTGTGCTTGACAATTTATTTTAAAAAGGATAATAAATTATTCAACGATTAACAGTATCGCATTAATTAATCTTGTATCGTAAAATAAATCGATTTTGTTAATCACATATTGAACTAATGAACGTCGTATATAGTAAAAATTTCGAAGTATGTTTTGTTTAATGTAGGTCAATTAAAATTGTACAATTGTTTACCGATGTTAATAGCGCTCTTAATAATGACTCATTTTAATTTCTGCTTTTAATAACTTTAACGATGACGGTTTGAAAAACTGAACAAATTAAATGGAATTCAACATTCATTAGTAATCAAATTAAATAAACCTCAGAAACAATTTCTACAATTAGATTTTAACTCCATTTTTCAATCTTAGAAAAATCGGTTCAGTATTAAACCATCATGCGAGAGCCTTGAGCCATATTATGAAAAACTTAAACCATAATATCAGTACCTTGAACCGTAGTATAGAAAGGCAAATTTGCTGCAATAAGATGTTGAATTTAAATTAAACCATTCTGAATTGAATCATGCTAACACATAATACCGTTTAATCGATTTTAAGAAATATAATAATATCTTTCAACTTTGTATTATATTAGGGTTACCAAAAATTTAAACTATATTATGGTTCAAGAAGCTTCGAAACTCCTAACGAAGTATCTGTAGAATTTGATGAGTAATCAGTAAATATAAAAAGGGGGGAAAGTTTCACCCAGAATACCTTTTGATCTAATGATTGGATTTCCACTTTGCACAATGCAATTTCAATAATTCAAGTGGCACGCCTATTCTAATTCATTTAAATTGATGGTATTTTAAATTACATTATGAGCGAGTACTTTTTCTAAATAATCGTACCTTTTTTCCGGCATATTCAGACTCTTGATTACCAAATCATGGGATGTAAGCAGTGGTAATCTGGGAAATATGATCTGAATAATCTAGTCAAGAGGACCATGCTAAGTTAAAAACCCTGTATGTTAATTGTACTTTTGCGTAATTCGTCATAACTTACTGTTTCTTATAAAACATATTGTGTGTCGATGTAACAGGGTTTTTTTTTTCATTGCAGCATTTTGATATATGGAAAGCGATAAGCCATTAAAATTCTCAGCAATTCTGCAATTTTTTATTCAGTTCTCCACTTATTAATGCTTATATATAATATTGTAAGCATTGTAGTACATATTACCAATAAAAAAAATTTAAAAACCAATTTTAAAAATATGCAATATAATATTGCAATTAAGATAACGCATATTATATATAACTCATTTATTTTAAAAACAAAAACGAATTTGAGAGCACTGAAAAAATCATTATTAGCAGCAAATTCATTAATGCAATTAATCAATCTTTAAATAAAAATCTAGACACCGCTAAAGTAATTAAGTGGTTAATCAACCGATTTGAGTACACCATTGAAAAATAACTCCAACTTTTTTTCTTCCTAGCATTCTGTTTAATGCATAAACGTGTGATGTGTTTAGCTATAATATGCAAAAACACTCTCGAAAAGTGATAAAAAATAAAAAGCCCACTCTAAAAATTCCCCTTCTTTTTTTTCCCTTTTTTACCATCGTTACTGAATCTCTCTAATGATTACAAATAAAAGCGTGGTGATTATTTGATTAATTACTGTTTAGCTTATGCTTTTTTATTCACTCCAATGCTTCTCGCTCTAATTTTCATGCGCTCGTTCCGGAAATTTTCCCGTAAACGGGAGAAGCGGATATAAAAACCATACCGCATTGAACCGGAAAAAAGGGCGAAAGAGAACATAGAAATTAAGCTCAAATGAAAGAAGTAAAAAAAAAAATGCAAAAATTTTTTTACCCCTTTCTTTGAGTAATACTTGACAAAATGTAAACGTTTAATTAAATAAAAAAAAGTAGTACTAAATGAAATAAGGGAAAGCTAGGGGACTAAGAGGCGGTGACAGAAAAACTAGTAGGATAAACTGAGCTAGAAGCGAGGGAAGAATTTTTTCCTCGTCGTTCCGGAGTCGGATTAATTGCTTTAATTACAGTAAAAGGGTGTTTTTAATCCAACGATTAAGATGCCCATTAGCGCTCTAATGGGAAGCAATAGCGCCAAGATTGCGCCTTAGCACTGCGCAAGGGGCCGACTACTAAATGAAATGTCTCTTAATGAGTTTAATGAGTTTTGTGGTTTTTGAAGAGAAAACCATATCAGAAAATGAGATCCCAAATTACTGAGTTTTTTTCGTTTTCTTTTCTTCGTTCGTTAAGTTAAAAGCTGTGGTGTTAAATATCTTTTATGGTAGCTTTATACCGCACTGAATTTCTTCTTAATTATTGTTTACGGCATATATGGAGTTTGTTTTCTTTTTAATTCGCTGTAAACCGCTTTTAAATGGCCGTACATGATTGGTTATGTTTTCTGAATGATGACTATAACGAATTTTGTTGACAAAAAATGAAATTATATGTTTTTTTAATTTTCACAAATTTTTCTTATCTTTAAAAGGAATCATATTGCGACCTTATTTTATATCTTTTTTAGTTTGTTAATTATGGAAGAATCTGAGAATTTAATTAAAACTCTTCTTTTTTTTAGATAGTTTTATAAGATATAGTGTTAGACACTATTTGTGGGGTTTGGAATATACTTTAAAATTATCAGATGCTTTTATCTTTAGTGTTTAAAAAATCAGTTGAAATAGTTTAATTATAAACGTGATTATATCTTATTCTGGTTATTGTTAGTTCTAAATATTAAATCAATATTGAACAAAAAATTTACTTTAATTATTATTTTTATTTATAAGTTACGAAGGAAAAAGAACTTACGCCTTTCATTTTTAACCCAAACTTTGAAATAAATTTGTTTTTAATTGCTTACTTTAAAAATATATATATACTTTTTTACTATTAGTTCAAATTAACCATATTTTTCAAGATGAAAATATTAATAAAACATTCATTAGTAATTTAATCCCAACAATAACATTAAATTACTATTTATTTTGATTAAATTCTGAGTAATGGTATAAAATAATAACACATTTCATAAACATTTTACATCAGGATTCAATTAAAGATGACACTTAATATGTGTCATACTTGATGTATTATACATATGTGTTATGCATTTTTTTAGTTTAATTTATAAACTAAAATTAAATTTTTTTAAGCAAGCAAACTTTTAACAGTTTAACTTTAACTTTTAACACTGAGGCAGAGATGCCAACTGCTCCGGACACGCCAAAATAATTTAAATAACGGTAAATAACTACAAACTAAATTTTGCAAATATTTGACTAATTTTGCTTGCTTTTTAAAAGGTTTAGCATGACGAAACCATAGTGAAACGGTGAATTATATAAACCTACGAATTATTTAGAAAAAGCGGTAGATAAAAATCTATTAAATTGAATTTATTAAAGCAAGAATTACAATTAATAAACTACCACTTGAAAATATTTATTCGCTGTCCGGAGCAAGTTGGCATCTCTGCTGAGGGCAATTCCACAGTTTGTGAATGCCGTATTTGTCAGACATTAAAATCATATAACTCAGTTTAAAAAATTATTTAAAACTACTAATAATTTTTGTAAATATGAGTCTTGTTGTCATTTTCTCTTGATGCAATGTTTAGAACTTTTTATAAATGTAAAATTTTTAAAAATTGCAAACTGGCTGCATATTGTGTTGTATAGCTGAATATTGCTTCCGTAACCCCAGTTACATATAAAATTTGTAAACGTATGAAACATACAAAAATTTGATGTAATCGTTGACACTAAGACTTGTTAAACAAAAAAATATTGAGAATGATATTTTTACAAAGTTATAGGCTTTTAAAGTCTACATCCCAAGTTGTGGAATAACCTCTAACCTTATTATTTTCAAGGTAGCAACATTTTATTACAGTGAAACCTCCACTAAAGACCACCTTTATATAGCGACCTATTTATATAGCTATTTACGGCCTTTATATAGCTATTTACGGCCACTTTTGGGCGCCACGGAATTTCATTTCAAAGACTTAGTGTTGAAGGAAACATCTAAGAGGGACCATTAAAACCCCTCCCATCGACCGGGCAAATATCTACACCAAATGCGGAAAAGTTTCAATAAGGAAACACGAAAAAATATTAAAACAAAAAATGTAACAAAACAAATAAGTAGATTAAAATGTATTCAAAATATCTGTGTGAGGTTCTTATTCAGAGAGCTCTTTTTGACGATACAACCTCATGTTGCAGTCAGAGTGCCCTAAAAACGATGCTATCAATGATTTAATTCTAGAGTTGAAAGTTAAATTAGAAAAATTAAGTTTTTTTAGAAAAAATAAGCACACCTCTTCTCCTCTTTTAAAGCTAACCAATTGTTATGACATAAAATTGGAAGCAAATTTAAACAAAAAACATAATTGTTTATTTATTTAAAATAGCTTTATCATTCATAATTGGCAAGTTTGTTTTTACGCATAATTACATCAGTTGGGATCATTTTTATAGACGCTAAATTTTGTTCGTCGTTACGTCTTTCACTGAAGCCAACAGAAGTGGCATTTCTGCACCAAGAAAATGACACTGACTAAAATTAAAAGCGTTTACGGAAAATCATGTACCTTTGGTAACAATTTTAAAGTCTATAGAGGTAACCTCTAAGAGCGACCAACCTCCTTCAACGACTACTTTATTGTGAAACGGAGAGTGGTCGCTCCCAACCTCCATCAACGACCATTTTATTGTGAAGCGGAGAGTGGTCGCTCCCAACCTCCATCAACGACCATTTTATTGTGAAGCGGAGAGTGGTCGCTCCCAACCTCCATCAACGACCATTTTATTGTGAAACGGAGAGCGGTCGCTCCCAACCTCCATCAACGACCATTTTATTGTGAAGCGGAGAGTGATCGCTCCCAACCTCCATCAACGACCATTTTATTGTGAAACGGAGAGTGGTCGCTCCTGAGAGGTTTTACTGAATTTTGTTTCGGAACGAGAGGAGTCAAAAATAGGTCAAAACATATTTTTAACGACTATTTATTAATTTAAATTTCCATTTCATTGTATTTTCCATTGTAGATTCCATTTTTTTCTTAAATTAATGAATTCTGTTTTCTGCATAACGATTTTTCATTTTTTTTTCTTTCTTTTTTTTCCATTTGATTTAGTCTGTGATACTTAAAAAATAATATTTGCATTCCTATTATATTTCCTTTCATAAATTTTAATATTATTTAATTATCACTTCACTAATAATATGACTCTTTCCTCCCTCCTCAGCCAACGCCGCGCATCAAAGCGGAATTGACATCCAACGCCCCTGCATGCTACGCCCTAGCTATAAGCCCTGATTCCAAAGTGTGCTTCAGTTGTTGCAGTGATGGAAACATAGCCGTCTGGGACCTCCATAATCAAAATCTAGTCAGGTAATTGTTTTTATTACGACGCAGTTTATGCAGACACGTCAAGGTTAACTTTCAAAATCGTAGACATTACGTATAATTTGGTAGCTTTTGAAAGTTAAAAATAATAATAAACTTCTGAAAAAATTGTTCAAAGGTAGGTTTCTATTAAAAATTGTGAAATAAGACTAATTTTTTTTCGAAATATTTCTGATAAAATTACGTATAATTTGGTAAGCTTTAAAAGTTAGAAATAATAATTCTTAAAAAAAAAATTTTTTTAAACGTAGGTTTCCATTAAAAGTTAGGAAATAAAACTGATTTTGTTTTCAAATATTTCTGTAAACATTATGTATATTTTGGTAGCTTTTGAAATTTAAAAATAATAATAATACTCAACAATCTGAAAAAAATCGTTAAAAGGTAGGTTTCCATTAAAAATTGGGAAATAAAGCTAATTTTGTTTTCAAAATATTTCTGTAAAAATTACTTATAATTTGGTAGCCTTTGAAATTTAATAATAATAGCAATAATAAACACATTGAAAAAAATTGTTAAAAGATAGATTTCCATTAAAAATTGGATTAATTTTGTTTTTATAATATTTTCGTAAATATTATGTATAATTTGATAGCCTTTGAAAGTTTAATCTTGACTTGTCTGTATAGGCTACCAAATAGTGACGTGCCAGCATAGGCTGCCAATTCTTGGCGTGCCTTACTAAATCTACAGATTTATTTATTTCTGTATAAGCTACGAAATTCTAAGTAATTTTTACGAAATTTTGATCCAACTAATTTTTACGGAAATATTTTGAAAACAAAATTAAAGTTTTATTTTCTGATTTTTAATAGATACTTACCTTTTAAATAACTTTTTTTATTGTGTTTAGTATTTTTTTTTTTTTTAATTTTANTTTTTTTTTTTTTTTTTTTTTTTTTTTTTTTTTTTTACTTTATGGCAAAATTTATTTAAATGTAGCAACAGATTTATTTATTTGTTACGTTATTAAGTTCGAAATAACTCTTCCTACACTTAAATAAGCTTTGATTTTTTGAATTTTATTCAATTAAATTGAAGCATATTTATAACTTACTGATAAGCAATAAAATATTTCCCTTTAGATAAATTCGAAAATTACTACAGGAAAACGTTTCTTCTATGGAAAGATACCACAGAGACAACATGAATAAACTTGAAGTGTCTGTTTTAAATTATAAGAACTATATAGTGCAATCTACCCAATTTAAATTGTCTGTATCTCTGAGCTTTCCATCAACGTCGTCAAATTACAGATTACTTTTGCATTGTATGGAATGAGCATTCGACAAGGCCAACCTTCATCTATCAAAAAGTACCCCAAGATTGAATTAATTGAGTTATCATGCTTTATATATTAATGAATTGATGTTTAATAATCGAACTGGTAGTTACACCACATTACTCTCCCACCAGAATTTTTATCAGGGATAGAATTCGATGAAAGTGCACCATTAGTTCTCGTATTTGCGAATGACCGGGAGACTTGTATTGAGTTCACCGAGTTTTGAGCTTTTGTCGTGAGTGCTGTATTAAGTTGACGGTTGTGTGTGAGGTAACTCCTGTGTTACTATCAGCAGTCGAGTGTGTGCGGGATACCGATGTGTGTAATTAAGACTGTGACGCAACAGCGCTAGGAGGACGATGACGAGGTCACAAAGAGCAAGTCAACTGTTCAATGTGGACCATCCATCGAAGTAGGCGTGTTCAAATCGAAGTTGGTTCGCTCAGATGACGTCCGGAAGTCATTTATGTGGGAATCATTTAGATTTAAACAATGCCAACCTTCATCTATCAAAAAGTACCCCAAGATTGAATCGAGTTAGCATGTCTTATATACTAATGAATTGATGTTTAATAATAGAAGTGGTAGTAAGGCCACAGCATCAATCAAATTATAAGATTTTCCGTTTAGCAGAATTTTTTGATAAATGTTTATATTTGACACTTATTTATGCTAATGTGTGCAAAATTTATGCAATTTGCAGGCAATTCCAAGGCCACACTGACGGTGCAAGTTGCATAGATATATCTAGTGATGGGACAAAACTCTGGACTGGTGGATTGGACAACACAGTGCGATCTTGGGACCTAAGAGAAGTAAGTAACACCTTCAGTAGTTTTTACAGGAATTTGAACAACTAGTACTTAAAGGTACTTTATATCATATACTGTTACTTAGAGGTGCGTTAACTAGTACTATTCTTTGAAAACTCTATCGTCACATAAATAATGCCTTTCATATAACATTAAGATGATCTTACTGTCGATACATACTATCAATACATACATACTTTTACTATGACATGGCAGTTTCAATTCGGAAGCACTACTAACGTTTCGCATAAAACACATTGGCGATTTTTTTAAAATAAATAATGAATTAGTTTTTTTAAATATTTAAGCTTTTTGTTTGTTTTAAGTTCAAATAATTATTTTCGGATTGTATACAGATTTTAATATGCTTTGTAGTGCTTTGTTTAGAAATTAAAGCACTCAAACTGTGGATTGTTTAAATTCTTTCACAAAATTACTCCGAAAATCACGTTTTATCCATGTGTCACAACTCCAAATTTAGATCGCCTCGGATTCTATGTCCAGTTGGTGAGCTTCTCCGAAATTGAAAAATTAAAGTAATAATAATTCCTCTAAAAGTAATGATAATAATTTGGTTTCACTTTACGTCTGTCTGGTACTTTTGTTTTAATTGTGCTTTTTTTAACCTTTTAGGGTCGCCAGCTTCAGCAACATGATTTTACCTCACAAATATTTTCGTTGGGATATTGTCCGACTGGCGAATGGCTAGCTGTAGGGTAAGTAAAGTTTTTCTCTCTTTCTACATCTTATTTTTTTAAAACAAAAATTTTGAATTCAACTAAAAAAAATAATTTGAACAAAGAATTTAATTTTTCAAAATGTTTTTAACTAAGAACACTTTTTATAAACTTCGTCCAATTAGAAAAGCTAATAAAATTCGCTTATTATTTTAGTTGAGATACTAACAGTACTACAGATTCTTTTATATTCATAATCATTGTTTAAAATTGAGCTCTATGCTTGTTTTTTAGAATGGAGAGTAGCAATGTGGAGGTGTTGCATTGCACCAAACCTGACAAATACCAACTACATCTTCATGAAAGTTGTGTGCTCTCGCTGAAATTTGCATCTTGTGGTAAATGGTTCGTGTCAACAGGCAAGGACAACCTTCTAAATGCCTGGAGGACACCATATGGAGCCTCTATTTTCCAGGTAAGGCGTTTTTCACCAAAGAAAAAAGCAATTTTTATGGTTTAAGAATTACCAATGAAATTTAAACGCCAAACTTTTTCACCCAAAATAACAATATAAAGTTTGAAAATCAACAATGGAAGCTCGTTTTCAAAAAATTTCACCTAAGGAAACAGGATTATATATGCATAGTTTAAGAATAAACAATTGAGGTAAAACGCCAAACTTTTTTTCACCTTAAGTAATCATATATAGTTTGAAAGTTAACAATGGAAGTTCATCTTCGAACTTGGTCACCAATGGAAACATAACTACTTTAGTTTGAAAATCGACAATTGAGGTAAACCGCCAAATTTGTTTTAACCTAAATTAACAAAATTTAGTTTGAGAGTCAACAATGGAAGTTCATATCTGAGCTTTTTCACCTAAGGAAGCAGAACTATATATAGTTAAAAAATAAACAACTGAGGTAAAACGCCAAAAATTTTTTACCTGAAATAACAATATATAGTCAAATAATAGTAATCACCAAAATAACAGTATATTGGAAGTCAACAATGGAAGTTCATCTTCGAAATTTTTCACCTAACAAAAAGTAACTTTTATAGTTTAAGAATTAACAATGGAGTTTAAGTGTCAGACTGTTTTCACCCAAAGTAACAATGTATAGTTTAATAGTCAACAATGGAAGTTCATGTTTGTATTTCTTCACCTAAGGAATCAAAACTGTATACAGTTTGAGAATCAACAATTGAGGTAAAATTCCAAACTTTTTTAACCTAAATTAACAAAATATTATTTGAGAGTCAACAATGGAAGTTCATGTTTGTATTTCTTCGCCTAAGGAATCTGAGATATATATAGTTTAAAAATAAGCAATGGAGGTAAAGCGCCAACCTTTTTTTTTTTAACCTTAATTAACATTCATCTTTGAACTTTTTCAAGTAAGGAAAAAAAGAACTATACGTGTAGTTTGAGAATACAATATATATATTTTTATTCATGATAAAATTCAAATATTTTAAGATTTTTTTATCTACAAAACAATGAATTTGAAAAGCAATTTCTGAAATTTATGTTTGATTGTCTTAAAATTTATGTCCGTCATAATTGGTTCTCTTTATAAATCATTGTATACTAATTGTTTATTTATCTGCGCAGTGGTGTTATGATAAAATTATTGCGCAACTAAATTCCAGAAGCATTTGAGCTTAAATGTTTCTTTTAAATTACTTGCTTTAAGTACCATCTTGCAACCTTTTAGTTCTTGCTTTTTAAAGGCTTATTAGGAAGAAAAATTATTCTTAAGAACAAAAAATAACTTTTTTCATAAAAAAAAGTTCTTAATAATCATTTGGGGAAATTGGTTTTTGCAAAGCCGGACGCGCTAATGAAGGCCACTAATGAAATTTTACTCTTTTAAATGAGGAACTATATGAATATGAAGAAAGGAGCCTTTTGTCCTGTGACTTAATATGGTTTAAAATTAAAATTTCCTCTCGCTTTATTATTCGAAATCTTTAATCAAAAGAAAACCCTCTGCTCCCCTTTAATTTGTATCCGTCTCTCAAAAACGGGAAATTTCCGGAAACCGGAGTAATTTTCCTTATAAGATGAATAAGGAAAATGGGTGGGAGGGGGTGAGGTAGAAAAGAAGTAATAATTTTTAAAAATGAAAAAAAAATAATAAAACTAGCCTATAGATTAAAGAGGGAAAAAAATCGCTTGGTAAAAATAAACTTATTAAATTAATGCGCGAAACATAAAATTCGCGATAAAAATTTAACTTTAGAATTAATTAGACGATTTCAACCAGGTTTTTTTTTTCCTTTCTTCGAATAAAAAATTCTTTTAAAAATGGGAAGAAAAATAGTTATATGCGCAGCTCTTTCTTTTCCTATCCTTTTTATTTAGCGAGAAGGCCAAGATTAGAAGGTAGGCTGCCTGTAAATTAAGTCGAACGTATATAAAATGGGGTGGAGGCAAAAAAGATGGTTGGGGGGAGGGGTCCCCAGAAGAAAATGAGTTAGTATGTTGATTAAATGCGAGGAGGGTTTCAGAATGCTATTAGAAAAAAAAGCGCCTTCCAAATTAAAGACAGTGTCTTGATGGGAAACTGGTGGAGGGTGTAGTAAGGTGTGGGGTGGAGTTAAAAAAATGAACGGGCCTTACACGCTATGCATATATTGCAGCAATTTTTAATATTAATGAAAGCGAAAAAAATGTGCTCCGGTTATTCATTTGAGATGGGGAGGTGGATGGGGGTGGTTCGAACCTTTTTTGTTCATTAGTGAAAAGCAGGGAAGTTGGTACTAAGTGCATTATCGCTGATCAGTTTTAATTGGACCAGCGATGGAAACAAATCCTTCTTTCATATTAATTGGCGCTCATTGTCTCGACTAGCATAACCCTGATTAATTCTGTCCTGATTTTTTTTTTCAATTAGCCGCCTTTAAAAGGTATGCGACAAAAATTGGAAAGGTGACTGTGAGCGATAGCGGTGTAAATTGTCATTTGACTTCTGAAAAAGGTTTTTCCCTTAATTTAAATTTTCCTTTTTATGAAATACATTTGCTTATTAATACTTAGGCTATTTAAAAAAAATTCCGATGAATGGGGTTATCATTGCAATTTAGGAAGCTTAGTGGATGAAGGTTCTGAGTGATATTTTTTTTTTTTTAAAAATTGAAATTTCTTGTTTAAATTTTATTTAATAATGAAACATTGATTCAGCTTGCATAGTCTTTAAATTTCCGAGATATAAATGGATAAAGGTTCTATATGATATTTTAATAAAAAATTCTAATTTTTTTAAGGCCATATAGTAGTTTTACTTAATAATACAATTTTAATTTAGTTAGCATAGTCTTTAAATTTTGGTGATCTCAGTGGAGGAAGGTTCTTAGTGACATTTTAGAAAAAGATTGAGATTTTTCTGGGAAATATATTATTTTAGTTTTACTTAGTAATACAGCATGAATTTAGATTGCATTGTCTTCAGATTTTGGTGATATCAGTGGATAAAGGTCTGAGTGGTATTTTAATAAAAAAATAATAAGAGTTTCTTTGAAGACATATAGTAGTTTTACTTGAATCGTACATATAATAGATTTATATGACTTAGTAGATTTACGTGATTTCAGTAGAAAAAGGTTTTAAGTGACATTTTAGAAAAGATTGAGATTTCTCGAGAAAATATATTGATTCAAATTTATTTAATAATTGAACATTGATTTAGTTTGCATTGTCATAAAATGTCGGATATATCAGTGGATGAAGGTGCAAAGTGATAGTCTTTGACTGTTTTTGTTGGATAGAAAGTGTCCAAATATATTTAGAAAGAAACAATATACAAATTAAGATTAAAAAATTTTGTTTTTTTAACAAATTGAAATGCTAAGCGTGTGAGCTCTATAGTGCGAACAGTTTAAGGATAAGTTTTACTCATTGAAAGGGTATGGATTAGAATTTAACGCAAAATATAATCTTTTTTCATTTTGTCAACGTATTTTATACCTAACAATTAAACCTAGCCGTTTGAACTTAATTTACTAAAGCTTGTTCAACATTCATCCCTAATTAATTGTTAAATAAATTTATATTCTGAATTTCTATAAATGATAAAGTTCTTATAAAATTAAGAGCAAATTACGTTGATTAAAAGAAATGAAAAAAAGCATTTTTTTTTCAGTATAATACAGTAATAATTTTGTGAAACCTATTTAGATTGTACATATTTAAATATTTACACCTTCTAAGATTTAAAAAAAAAATTTAACAGTTTTGAATTCGAATTTTTTCTTCCTCTTTAAAAAATTTAATTATAAAAGTTGGCTCTTTTTATTTTTGAAAGAATATTTTAGTTAATTTCAATAGTATGAAATATTTGGTATTTTTCATATTGTATAAAAAACCGAGCATATTTTTAGTAGAATGAAACATTAATTTTCAAGTCACTCACCTTTCATATTTATCTTCAAGTTGGCTTGTATCAGTTTTCTCCTTATGGAATCTGTTTCAGAAATGATTTTATGAAAGAGAGCGAAAGTGGGGGGGAAGCGAGATATAGGGGAGGGGGAGAGAAGATATACTTTTTCAATAAGACAGACAAATGCCACTTTCTTAATAACTTCAAAAGCAAAAGAAAGAAAAAATTCTCTTCAGTTACTTGATTTCATCTTTTTTCTCTCTTCTTTTTTACTTGGCGAGTAAAAATATTCTGAAACTATAATATGTAATGTCTTTTATTTTACCAAATGAAAATTCCTTTCTTGGGGATTATCAAAGAATTAAATAAAGAGGGTTTTTTTTTTCTTTCCCCCTCCACTATTTGCGTATTATTTTCTTTCTCTTCTTTTGGTTCTTTTCTATTTAAAACCACGGAGATCTTAGAAAATTTACACCGACAGTCAGAAAAAAGGAGGGAAAAAGTTGCAATATATGAAAAAAGAAATTTTTCCGAAAGAATGTGTTTGAAAATATCCCCCCGCCTAGCCAAAATATGCGTATTTAAACAAGGAATTTTTCCCCAATTGAACTTTTTTTGCTAAGTGTAATCCTCACAATATCATTATGAAAAGATTGAAAAATATTGTAACACTGCGTGGAATACTAATAAGTACAGAGCTCTTGAAGTTAATAAATTTGTTGAATAGTACTTTTTTACAAGTATAAATACCAAGGAAAAAATCTTTTAAGGATTAAAATCAAATCTTTTCTAGTATCCTTTTAATTTCTTTTTGTATGTAGAGATTCTTAGTTTTAATTATCTAAATAAGATTTGTTACTGTTAAAAAAGTTCGGTTGTTTCTTTTTAAATCGTTTCATTTTTCAAGAAATCTTATAAGTTTTATTGGTTATTATTTAGTTTGATTAAGGAAGAAAAAAAAACATATTTGTTGAAGTTTTCATGTCTTCGATGCAAAAAGTAATCATTTTGAAAAAGAAACATTGAAAAAATAAACATAAAGTTTGTTTAAATAACATTTTTCGGTAAAGTTAATTAAAGCTTTATTTAAGCCGTAAATATTATTAAAAAAATATCTCATTTTACATTTTCCTGGCTGTTTTATTATCAATAAAATCCCCCGCTTGTTTTTGATTTGGTTTTAAATTGCTGGAGTTTTAGCAACATGTTGTTTTTATGCAACTTTAATTTCACTTAGATATCCAATCCATGGTTTAAGAAAAAAATTCAATAAGTTTCAAATAAAGATGAAGAAAAAACATATTTTGCTGTTATTAAATATTCGTTAATAAAAGAGATTTTACAACGCTGAATTTTGTTGTTAATCGGATAAAAAGAGTGCTTAAATGTTATAGAAAAACATCTTAAATCTGTATTTATTTTTGTTAGGATAAAGTAAATATTTTACTTTATTAAAAGCTGCTTTTTGCCCTTATTTATAGCTTGTAACGTTGAAGGAAAGTATCAATTAATTTCACCAAAAAATATTTTATTTTAGTAGATTTTCAATTTAATATATTCAGCTCTTGCTAACAAATTTAATGAGATATTTTCACTTTGCATCGATTCTGTCATGATAGCTTTTAGATTTCAATATATTCACTAGTTTTTGGTAACAATTCTTCAGTTATTCCGAATTAGTAATTAGCATCTAATTATTACAAATTATCAGATCTTAGAAAGCTAAAATTTTGTTAATCGGATAAAAAGAGTGCTTTTGTTGCGAATTAGTAATTAGCTTCTAATTATTACCAATTATCAGATCGCACAATGTTAAATTTTGTTAATCGGATAAAAATAATGCTTTTAAATGTTATCATAAAATATCTTTGGTAGTCTTTGTATTAATATAAAGTAAATATTTTGCTTTATTAAAAGCTGATATTACAACTATCTAAAGCTTAAATTCAATTATTTTCTGGTTAGTTATTACCAATTAGCATCTAATATTTTTACGAATTATCCAATCTTACATTGCTGATTTTTTTTTTTTTTTTTGAGAAAAAGAATGCTTTTAAATGTTATTTAGACTTGTAATGCTGAATGAAAGTATGAATTTATTGAAAAAAAATCATTATGATCTCAAAAACATTTAAATTTAGTTGATTTTCAATTTAATACATTCAGCTTTTGGTAGTAAATTTATGAAGATATTTTCATATTATTGCTAAATAATTCCTTGTTATTATCGTCTAGATATCAATAAATAGCATCGAATTATTTCCAGTCATAAGATTTTACAACACTGAGTTTTATTGATTAAATAAAAAGTGCGCTTTTAACTATAATAGAAAAATAGCTTGAATATGTAGCTATTTTTTTTTTATATAACGTAAATATTTTTGTATATTAAAGCGGTTCTTACAACTCCTTATAATTTCCATCCCTAAATGAAATCGTAAATAACTTTCTAAAAAAATTAGTAATATTTTTAAATTGTTATTTTTGGTAGAATTTTTATTTAATACATTCTATTATCGTCAGGTAATGTAAGAAATAATATATCCACTTTACTGCGTTACGGCTTGTAACAACATAAGCGTTGCGGCTTGTGACAGCATAATTATTTAGTTACTGCTAATTGTCCCCTAATTATCATTAAATAAGAAATCCTATTACCACTACTTACTACTACTACTGTGTCCTATTACCACTACTTACGCAAGTAATTGTTAATGAATGATGTTGAGCTAAATGAAATAGAAAATGCTGTTTCACAGTTATATCTCTTGAACATTATCACCTTAAATTAATACTATTACCATACTATTACTATGTTATACTATTACTGTGCTATACTATATACTATACTATTCTTTACTATTACTATACTATACTATGCTATACTATACTATACTCTATACTATACTATACTATACTATACTATACTATACTATACTATACTATAGTATAACACATTAAATAGCTTATTTAATTGCAATTCCAACGATGCTTTTTTTTTTCACTACTTCTTTTAGGGGAATAATAGAGAATTGACTTTAGTTAAACATACTTCTAAATTTTAAATGCATACACAACATGCTTTAAACAGATCATTTTGTTTATCTCGATTTTTGTGTTCAAACAAAGGACAAACAAAACACATTTCAAAAAGAACTTTTTCCCACACTTTCTTCTGTAACATGGAATTATAGCGAGTTAGTTGTCAGAACCGGGCTTAAGTCTTATGAAAAGAAGAAATACAAGTTGCTTCAAAAAATAAATTATTCAAAAAATAATTCAAAAAATAAATTATATTAATCTGTTTTTTTTTTTTTTAATACAAAATTCTTAGCTATACAATCTTTTCCATAAAATCGATAAATTAGCTTTCAGATAAATAGTGGCGCTGCGATAGTTTTAAGTCCGACTCATTTTATTTGTTTTTGTTTCGTAGGAGTAGTACTTCTAAATCTATCCATAATCACGAGTCTGAAATACACATAGAAACGTTTTGTTGGCCAAATCTGAAATTCGTGGTGATAAAATTATGAATTATGTCTAATTCGTGGTTTTTGTCTTCTCTTTGCAGTCGAAGGAATCTTCATCAGTGTTAAGCTGTGACATTTCGTCTGATGACAAATACATAGTAACTGGATCCGGTGACAAAAAAGCAACAGTGTATGAAGTCATTTATTGAATCCTCACTTGACACAAATAAATCACCTTTTTACACTCCAAAACTGTTACACCTTCACCACAACTCGCCAAATTGAAGCCGCCAACTATATACTCTTCAATAACAATTCTTATGACAATTCATCTTTGATAAGTCATTTTAAGTGCAATAAATGCGCATTCGAAAACAAAACACAAATCAATGATGATGATTATCCAATGATGAAACTAATTTATCAAATTTGCATCGTTTTGGAAATAATTTCGTTACATAATTTATGATTAATTTATGAAAACTAATCCATGAATTACTATTTTCACTCGGCTTATAATCATTATAAAGTTGCAAAACATCATATTTTTATTGTGCGAGTTTCGTTTCCTAATGTCACAGAAGGATTATTTATCAAAGTGTAATATAGATGGCGGCACAGGCATGAACAGTGTTCAAGACGTGGTGTTATTTATTTTGTTTCCGTGTTCTTCAACCATGAAATAAAATGGATCTTTCTCTATGGATAATAAATCAAGGATGCCTTCTCAAGTTCCATGCACAGACTCACATAACTATTTACAGAGTGACTTCAACTACTACAATTAACGGTGCCACCAAATCCTAAGTCAACTAAGTTCCAAAACTTGCCGCTTGTGGCTCCGTAGCGGACTACTACTATCTGGAAACTCTACAGGCAAAAAGAAACTACTATGAGAATGTGTCCTAATAAAAAAAGAAAACTGTGCTCCTTTTTTCAGTACGTTTCATCTCTCGTGAATGTTCCAGTTATAACATTTTTTTTAACTACTGTTGCATTAACTAATGAACTGCTGAAAAAATATGGAATTACAGCTTCAACAATTTTGTTTTTGTGGTTATTATAAATTTATTCCGTGCAAAGATTTCTATGTAATGATGCCACTTCTAATATTTTTAAACCTCATACTTAAAAATGTATAAATATGAAAGCTGGTTGATGAATAACAAGACTGTTTATTATTGTTTATTAGAAATTTAAAACGAGTCTATAGGAGACTAAATTTTTTTCCTGAAATTTTTATTTTTAATCATTAAGAAGTATGACATTTTTCAGTAAAAGTTAAAAAATCGTTATTTTTATCATTAAAAAGTGTATTTTTAAGCATAAATTTTTTTAAAAAAATCCTGAAATCATAATTTTTAATCAATTAATTTTAATAAATTTTTCAGCATAAAGTTAACTAAAATGAAAAATTTCATCGAATCATAATTTTCAAACACTATGAAGTTTGATATTTTATTATATTTTGTATCCAAATTTTAAAAGGAATTAATGTATGGTTAAATTAAACATTTTATGAAGAATTCAGGATAAACTATATAACAAAATTAACTTAAATTTTAATTTTTAATGAACGATGTAGTTTAAAATAATTAAAAATTAATAAAATTTTGAATAATCTAAATATAATCTAAAATTAATAAAAATTTTGAATAATCTAAATATCATTTTTATTGACTCTTTTACTACTAGTAAGCTTTAATTCCGTTATAATAATTCGTTTGGGTTTAAAAATTGATAAGTTAAATAAATAAAAAAGTGGTCACCTGTCGTGAAACGAAACAGATAAAAACTTAATGATCCGTAGGAGTAAAAAAGAGATATTAATGAATAATTTTTTTAATAAAATTAATATTAATTCATTAAAACAAATTATAAAGTAATACAACTGGTAATTTGTAAGCGACGTTATCATATGTAAATCGTGGCATTTGTCAATTCTGAAACCAATTAAGTTCGACACACGCGTGACGTAACTTACAGATAACCAATTAAATCTAATTTAAATCACGTGTTAAAGCATAATCACTTCACTTCGATTGCAAAAAACAAAACAAAATTTTCAATTTTGATTTCGCAATCAACAATAGAAAGTATTCTATCCTAATTTAGTCATTCAATTCAATTATATATTTAATTTGTTTTTCTTTTACATTTATACAGATAATTTTTTTTTCTCCGCCATCATAGTCTTGAACGGTGAAACTCAATGTGATATGTGTGAAAGTTTCAGCTATTTCTGGTAATTATACTATTTGTGAAATTTCATGCACACTGATGTGGAAATAAACAAAGAAAAATCTTGTTAATAACTGTTTTTTATTTATAATTATAAATAGAATTCACTTTGTTACTTGTTGTCAATCATGGATTTTACTGAAAGATTCGATGAGTGTGTATTGCTTTCCAAATGTGTAAAATAATCGTCAAACTGTGTATATTTCATTACTGGAAGATTACAGCGTTCTTCTCTGTGGAATCTTTTTACGAACATTTTGTATAGCACTGAAATTCAATTGTTTGAACTGCATAGACATTCGGTATACAAGGTATATTTGCTAAAACGAATCCATCTATATAAAATAAATATGTCTACTTCCATAAGGACTTGTACAGTTTCAGAAACGTTCACGCAACGTTGGACTGACGTCGTGTTCTCATTGTTTGGAAGCGTTCAAATGCGATCTCTTATTTTTAACCATACAATCTATGGTGTTAATATCAACTTGTCTTTCTTTTCTATATGCTTGTCTATTGTCTCTTCTGACATAAAAAATAGAAAAATTAATGTATTTTCTTGTAAGCTTGCATTTTCATGAAATGGTGTATCGTGTTCATGGTGAAAAAAAAAAGGGATTTTTAATCAAAATACAGTTCAGCTTGAAAGAGGATAAACTTTTTATTTATTTATAACGATTATAGGCCTTTCTTGAATCGTGGTCCAACTTCAACTTTGTTCGATTTGTGATTCAGTGTTTTTCGTAACTTTTCCGCCAGGGAAAGTAAAAATAAATAAATAAACAGCCATCGCTTAAAAGTCTTACCTATGAGGCAAAGCTGTAGTTTTAAACTTAAGAAACCATATTGCTGTAAAGAATTATCTGATCCTTAGAACGAAGAAAGAACATATTTAGAAACTGCGAGATTTTTTTCACCAGAAAATCAATGAATAATCTTCAATTTTCGCAATTTTTTATGAGTATCAGACAATGCAGAGTTGGTGTAACTATTTAAATATTTAAAAAAAATTGGATCACAATAGCTTTTCGTTTTCACGAAACTGTGGCTCTTCTTCCTATTGACATTCTGAGCCGTTTTCAGAATTAGCATAGAGGGCGCTCGCTAAAGATAGGCTCAACCTGAAGTAAAGTAATAATCATAAATAACTATTTCAAACTCACAGCAGTTATGAAAATAACATTAGCTTTATTCCAAGTGGCGTTAGAGCCTTCGACAAACAGGTGTGATTTGTGGTGCCCTCTATTTAGCAACCGAAACACACTGGAAAAGTATCAGTTTTAAAATAAGATAGAAATGGCTGGAATGAACCTGAAAGTGAATCAACTCCATTTTTAATACGTGGAATTGGACCACTATTTAAATTAGGCATTCAGTTATTGCTATTATTCATTTTTGTTTTATGGGTATCGTAAAACAGTTTTAAAAAAATAAGTGTAAAATATTTATATATTTTTTACCTACATTATCACTATTCATTGCGATAAACATTAATTTCTAAAATAAATGTTTTACTTCTTAAAACCCAAGATTCTGCACGTGGCAGATTTTTTTTTCTTTTTGCTTTGAAATGTGATTTATTATTAAAAATTAACTCATAGAAGCAAAAATAGTTAATGTCTCTCAATTTTAAAATTATTATTACACTCAATTATTTTTTAAAATTATTATTTCACTTAATTTTGCTTTAACAATTAAACATTTTTATAAAAAAAAAATCTGACAGCAATTTTTTTATTATTATTTGTTAGGGAAAATGGTTAAAAATCCCCATTTTGTAAAAATCCTCTCTTGGTTAAAAATCCCATTTTGTATTTCTATTGAGCACATTCCTTTAAATGTGGGTCAAGCCATGTAAGAACTCAAAATTCAAGTAATATCTCTAATTTTCAAAAATTATCGAGAAAATGCGTTGCATTAACCAAATGTAATAGGAACTTTTGCCGAATCTAAACACTCACTAAATTTCACTACAATTCTTCATGCGTAGGAGAGTGCCATAATTTTGAGAAGAATTTAAAAAAAAAAAGGATGAAAGAAATTCAAATTTAAAGGCTATATAATTTTTCAAGTTAAGTTATGCGTTTAAGAAACACGTTAAACCTTTTATTTGCTTCAGAAATTCCTAAAATAAAAAATAAATTTAAATCACGTCACGTAGGTAAGTCGTGTTATTGGTTGATTCAAAAGCCAGTCAGGTTTGACACATACGCGTGACGTCGCTTCCAGGTATATAATTAAATCTAATTTAAATCACGTGGTTAGGTATAACCACTTCACTTCTTCTCAAGTTGCAAGTACCTAATTTATTGAATGAATTTGCTCTAAACTAAACAAGTTTAAAGTTTAGTTAGACAAACTAAAATTTGAAGCACATAATACAAAAATAAACTGGTTAGAGTAGAAAAAAATTATCTGATTTTTTGAGTTCTTACAAAACGGCATAAACTTCATACCTAGTTCCTTTTCATAAAATGACTTTCGGAACAAAAAGGAAAAAAAAAGTTTTTCGAGTCATAAAACACAAGAAAATAGTTCCTGCTTTACCATTTTACGATGCACAAGACAATTTTAGAGCTCACGAATTTTTGGATGAAAGAAACTAAGAACGACTCAACACTATAACTATTTCTCCGATCCTTAAATTCAGATTTTTAATTTACGTAAAAATGCTAAGACTATTTGTTCTTATGTAACTAACATATTCATTGTTGGTTTTGCTGACGAGATCTGAAATGTTACACAGATCAAATAAGATCAGTTTACATTCTTAAAGATTTTATCTTTTTCTAGATTTGTTATTTAAAATAAATGTGGTTTTAGGCTCTTTAAATTTCAACTTCTTACACACTTTTAATCGATTAATTTTTGACACTTTTTAATCAATTTTCATCAAACAAAGATCTTTCAAACCATTGAAAAATAGAGTTTACAAGTTTAATAAATCGTCTGATTTCTATTTTTTATATGATATCCGGAAAAAAAAATTTTAATAACACCATTTCAAAAAGTAAAAATTTACAAAAGTTATTGCATTACTGATAAAACACGTGTTCTAGAAAATTTTAACGTTCTATAAATACAACAGGGAAAAAAATAATCTGATTTTAGAGAACTTTCTAAGATATTATTTATAACTTTAATTTATAATGTTTTATATAATTTGCTTTATATTATATAACATATACTTTATATTATATTTCTGTATAATTGTAACAATTATACAAAAACTTATCACAGAAAAGCATACATTAATTGCAAATGAATAAAATAGAAAATTGAAATTAAAAAAAATAAGCGTTTTTTTTTTATTGGTTTTCTTTGAAATCCATCCGATGTTTTTAAACCTCATTAGAAATTCTAAAGAGAAATACTTTAGAAAATTCTTTAGAAATTTTCTAGCTTTAAATTCAGATCTCGCTTGCAGCAAAACCATCTTTGTTTATAAATTTTTATCTGTCCTGCAAAAATTCCATAAGTAGTCTGAACTAGATCGTCTTTTAATATATGTTCTTAAATGGAAAATTCTTTTTAAATTGCAAATTAATCAGCCATTTCTTTTTAATAAATAATAAATGACTAACCTTAATTCTATAAAAAAAAAAAAAAATCTTATTTCTTCTATATTGCCAACGATCTTTTGGAAAATCGCTCTTAATTATCGTCTGAGAAAAGGCTCACAATATTTGGAAGCTGCTGAGTAAAAAAGACTTTGTTGTTCCTCATATATTCTGTGTGTGATCATTCAGCTCATTTCAGTCCCTGCCCAAAACAAATGAGAGGAAATATGTTTTTGTATGATAAGATAAATTACCCTTCTAATTGTAAATGATGGTTACGATTGAAAAGAAGATAGCATTAAAATTCCAAAATGTAAGTTGTTGTCTCTGTTTCTTTAAATTTACTATCATCACATACATATCTTATTTATTCACAATCATGTATTTTTAGAATAGAAACCAATTATCA